TTTTTTTGTATTGTTTTAAAGTGTTTTTTGCACTACAAATAAGATATGTGCAGTGTGCATAGGAATTCATTCATGTCTTTTTTCTAATTATAATCTGGCCCTCCAACAGTTTGAGGGACTGTGACCTGGCCCTCTGTTTAAAAAAGTTTGAGGACCCCTGATCTAGAACCATGGTTCTCAACCTGTGGGTCCCCAGGTGTTTTGGCCTACAACTCCCAGAATTTCCAGCCAGTTTACCAGCTATTAGGATTTCTGGGAGTTGAAGGCCTAAACATCTGGGAACTCAAAGGTTGAGAACCACTGATCTAGAATAACAAATATGGCTTTGAATGATGTTAGAAGGGAGTATTTCTTTTGTCACAGAGCCGATTTGAGATGAATGTTTTATGCTATTACAAACATAATTGACACACTTCATTGACTATTATATGTCTTAAGAATTTCGTGGTACTTTGGTGCATAAAAAATTGTCATTTCACAACCCCCCCTTTTTTTGACATAGTATTAAATGGACCATCTTCAAATGGTGGCAAGGAGTAAATTTAATTTCTCTGTCAATAATGTGTGCTTAGTGTAGATATCTATATAAATAAAAATGTAATGTTCGTTTGTGGGATTAACAAAACTCAAAAACCACTGGGGGAATTGACACCAAATTTGGACACAAGACACCTAACAACCCAATGTGTGTCCTTAACTGAAAAAAAATTGATTTTGTCATTTGGGAGTTGTAGTTGCTGAGATTTATAGTTCACCTACAATCAAAAAGCATTCCGAATCCCACCAATGATGGAACTGAACCAAACTTGGCACACAGCTCTCCCATGACCAACAGAAAATCCTGGAAGGGTTTGGTGGGCACTGTCCTTTGGTTTTGGAGTTGTAGTTCATCTACATCCAGAGATCACTGTGGACTCAAACAATGATGGATCTGGACCAAACTCTACACAAATACTCAATAAGCCCAAATGTGAATACTGGTGGAATTTGGGGAAAATAGAATCTTGACATTTCGGAGTTGTAGTTACTGGGATTTATTGTTCACCTACAATCAAAGAGCA